AGTCCCCAGGCCTAGGAGGCCCACAAGGAGATGTCCAGGGTCCCCCACCACCCACTGCCCACACACGCACCACAGCTGCCCCTCCACTCACATGCACACACCCATGCACACACTATCCCATGCTTTTCTATCTCAGCTGCACCTTCAGGGATATAACATTGAGCAGACATCCCTGGGAATCCTGCAACCATGATGTCAGCCAGAGAATGCCCCAGGCAGATGAGGTGGCAAAGGAGGCTCTGGATCACCCGGCCTCCTCACTCCCTCTCCAGAAGGCAGGATGTGGTCCTCATTAAGGGTATAGCTCTCTGTGCTCTGGCCTGGCCATCACCTTCCTGCTTGGAAGACTGACCTGGCTGCTAGGCTTGGTGACAGCTGCATGCCAGCTGCTGGAGCTGCATTGGCCCCGGCCCTGCCAGGCTGCCCCAGCTGGATTCTTTGGGCAGCAGAGGGTGAGGCAGAGTTAAGAGTGCAAAAGATGTCCTGGGAGTAGCACATGGGAAGGAAAGGCAGGGAGTGGGACTGGGCAGGGAGTGGCCCATGCAGCTGAGACACCATCTCTGCCAGGCCAGAGAGCTCTGGAGCAGAGATTTGCCATTAGGGGAGACCCTGCCGGACAGGAACAGTTACACCCTGGTGCCACCACTCTGCTTAGTCAGTGCCTGGGGGCTGCCTCAGGAGGAGTGGCGTTGGCTAGGAGGTTAGCCCTCAGCTAACCACACCTCTGGCATCTGGGCAGCAGCGAGTACTTTCGTACAGGGGTCCCAGGCAGTGCGTCTCTGTGCCTGCCAAGAAAGGCAAGATGTGGTTACAACTATTGCTCTCATTATAGCAATAGTTCATGAGTCTGCAACTCTGTAATGCATAGAGCATGTATTCATATGCTATATGCCTTCACATGCCCCATGGAGATGTGGGACACACCTGCCCCAGAAGGCCGGGGATAGGGTTAAGCAGTGGATGCGAGTCACGCAGCAGCAGAGGACGAGGGCGTCTCTGGCTAGGGATCAGCACACATCCCTGAGCAGGAAGGGTCAGGAGATGAGGGCCAGTCATGACAACACCCTGGACTGTGGCTGCAGGACTGAAGCCCAGACCCTGGCCCTTTCCAGAGGCTGCCAGGAGCTTTCTTATTCTGTCATTTCTCTTCTGTCTAAAACCGTAAGAGCCTGGTGCCGTCCCAAGTTCACTTCCTCTCCATCCCCATCATCTCTATTTGGAGCAGGGAAGCAGGACACACTGGCCCCACAGCAGGGCTCTTGTTTCTTACAAACAGCCCGGGCCTTGTCTGCCCAGCCCGGGGGTGTTCATTATGGAGGCAGGGCTGGCGACGCGGTGAGTTACCGACTAAACCCAAACCACCCTGGTCATACACTGCAGGAGGAGCTGTTGTTTTTGGACTCAGGAGTCAGCTCAAAAGCCAGGGGTGATTTTGGTCACACGCAGCTGTCGCCAGCCTGTGTGCTCCAGTTCTGCCGGCCCAGTTCAGCGAGGGAAGTGTACGAACTTCAGCCTGAGGGGTAGAGGGAGGCAGGACTGGGAAGACAGGCCTTGCCGGGCACATGCAGTACCCTGGATGGCACTGCCCTTGGCTGCCTTAGGAAGGTGCACATAACCCCTCAGAGAAAATTCTCGTCTCCCTCCTGCAGAGTGGTGTTGGGCTCAGGTCTGGCCCCAGACTGAGGGTGGGAAAAGTTCAGCCCTGAGATCCGCCCACATCAGGCATGGATGGCCAGGTTGCTTCACTGCTACCGCTTCTCTCCCCTCTAATTTGATTCCCTTGGTAGGCCACAAAGTTGGAGCAAGAGTTACTTTCAAATAAGAATCTCTTGTTTACCAAGTATAAGCGTCCATTCCATTAGAAAAAAATATAGGGCTCCTCCATTAAATTTCCCCTGGAAACCTGGCCTGTATTTTGAAGCAAAAGCATCTTAAGAAACTGAGTTCCCTGACTCTGTCCCTGCTCTGCCCCATCTCAGCAGGCTGACATGGGTCCTCCGAAGTCCCTCACACTCTGCTGTGTGGGCGCTTCTGCAGCCTTGTCAACGTGTGCATTTGGTTCAGGAGTTTGAGAGGCTGAGCTCCTGCAGATGTAACAAGCTCTTGGTTAGATCTAATAAGCTCTCAGGCAATTCCCACGACACTGTTTCACAAGCTACACAGTCACAGGGGCCTCCCCAGAACTGCTGTACAAAAGATCATCTGCCCAAACCCCCAGTGGCCAATGTCTTCACAGTGCTCCTGGTGGAGCCACCAGCTGCTCCCAGCTTGGCTGCCACACAGAGAGTGTGGCAGATAGCACAGGCTGGGAAGGGCCACCCACTCCAGGCTTCACCAGATCATGGGAGACTCCAGGCTAGCAAAGTGATCCAGGGAAAGAAGAAAGGATGAGCAAGGACAGAGCTGGAGAAAACCCAACATGTAAGCTACCAGCAGAGAAAAGGTGCCTGCAAAGGAAACAGAGAAGCATGCTGGGAAATGTAGGAAGCATCTATAAGGAAGTGTCACCGTGGAAACCAAGGAGGAAGTGGTTCACCCTCCAGTGTTGCAGAGAACCCATGAGAGCTCAATGCTGGAGGGCGCTCCATGGATTGAGTCCAGCCACAGGGGGCTCGATCACTGCGCTGCAGTGGCTCATTGAGAAAATGGAGCAGAAGCAGCCAGTGAGCAAAGGAAGGGGCTGGACATGAGGGAACAGGGCAAATTTGGGCTCCTTTTTTTTTAAGAAGGAAGAGGAAGTCAGGAACCAACAACCAAAAAGGGGTAAATAAAGAGGATGACAGAAACAAAAATGTTCCCCCAAAGTCCCAGCAGGCAGTCCTTAAGGGCATGGGCACAGGGAGCCATGTTGAGGATGGCAGATGGGTGGAAGAAAGTGTCCACTGCTCCCACTATGGCTTCAGGCTGGAGATGAGGCAGTGCTGAGGTGAAGGAGGAGCGTGGGTTCTGATGGCTCTGGTTCCAGGCATGCACCAGTGGTCTGATGTTCTCCAGCAGCATCAAACGGGCCAGTTATCAGTGCTGAGAAAGGGGTGGATCGACCAATCCATGGCTGGGGTGTTGCCAGGGCTTAAACCAAAGGAAAGTAAAGCAGGAGAGACGTGCGGGAGAGTGGCAACAGCGGTGGTCAGTGGGGTATAAGCAGGAGAGGAGCAGATGAAGGCAGTGGAGAACCGAGGGACAGTGAGAAGGCAGAGGTAGTGATGCTCTGGGAGATTCAAAGCTGTGTGTCCCAAGTGACTGATTGAGACGGTTAGAAGGGAGGAAGTTCTATAGTAAGAAAGAACATTTAGTCCTGGATGATGGCATAAGCGGGTAGCAGAGAAGCAAGCGCAATCATTAGAAGTGATCAGGCAAGAGATCACTGAAGGAACTGAAGTCCCAGATGGCAGAGCACTCTCTCCCAAGGGCGGCCGCCCAGGATAATGACTATTTAAGAACGAAGCTCCGTGGAGCTCCTCACCCTGTCCCTGGGATGTGAACCCATGGAAAAATCACATCCTTAGTTCAGCACTCTCCTGTGTTGATGAATCGCCAGACACGTGGTGGTGACGTCTGAGACTACTTTCCACCAATAGGGAGAGACCCAGAGCTGGTCCCCACAGCCAGATGCAAGGCACTATGGTCTCTGGGAGACACTCCAGGGTGGCAGCCTTGCCTCCCCAGGGCAGGAGCTGTCTCTGCAGACTGGCCTTGTCTGCCCCAATGACCCAGCAATGAGCACACTCAGGCAAATGTGGGCCAAAACATCATGCAGGGCTTCAGAGCAAAACAGAAAATACCATGCAGATGAGTGCAGCCCCCAAGAAGGGAGGGATTCCTGTACCTGTTTCTGTGAACAATTCAACGATTTATGTCTCCTAAAGTCCCTTCAGTGGCACCATTAGGTCCTATTCAACTCTATGAGTGTTATCCACATTATTTTATATCTTCACAATAATGCTGAGCACGAAAAGTGTGAATCGGTTTATATGTATTTTTATGTGGACACCTTTGTTTATCTAACTAGCGAAAGATGTCAGTTTACTGATTTATCCTTTCTCTAAACATGCCCATTCAAATGGGACAACTCGATATCCGCAAGCAATTCATTTGTACTCCTACCTCATGTCATATTCAAAAATCAATTCAAAATCAGTCAACATCTAAATATAAGAGCTAAAACTTTTAAACTCTTGGAAAAAAATATGAGAAAAAATAACAATCATAGTTTTGGCAAAGGATTCTCAGCTATGACACCAAATATATGAGAGACAAAAGAATAATTTAGATAAATTGGACTTAATCAAAACCTAAAACATCAGTGCATCAAAGGGAATTATTAAGGATATGAAAAGGCAAGCAATGGAGTGGGAGCAAATACTTGCAAATTATATATCTGATCAGTGCCTAGTATCCATAATTTATAAATAATTCTTATAACTCAATAATAAAAAAATTTAAATGGGAACATTTCTGAATAGACATTCTCAAAGGAAGCTATAAAAATGGCTGATAAGTAAATGAAAAGATGATTGACATTGTTAGTCATTGGGGAAATGCATCCTAACACTATAATGAGGTATTGCTTCATCCTGACTAGGATGGCTTGAGCTGAAAAGACCAATAATAAGAAGTGTTGGTGAAAAAGTGAAGAAGTTGAAACCCACATATGCTGCTGGGAGAAATGTAAAACTGTGCAGCCATTTTGGAGAATAGTTTGTCAGTACTTCAAAAAGTTAAAAGTAGAGTTACCATGTGATCCAGCAATTCCACTTCTAGTCATATAGCTAAGAGAAATGATAACATCTGTCCACACAAAATCTTGTATATAAATGTTTACAGCAGCATTATCCATGATAGCCAAATGGTAACAACATAAAAGTCCATCAGAGGATGAAAGCATGCACGATTTGGTTAATCCATAAGACGGAATCCTGTTCAGCTATAAAAAAGGAGAAACCTTGAAAACGTTCATGGATGGACCTAGAAAACTAAGTGCTAAGTGCTATTATGCTCACTGCTGAAAGATATCAGACACAAAAAGTCACATGTTGTGTTTATTTTATATGATATATCTAGAATAAGCAAATCCACAGAGATGGGAAGCAGATTAGAGGTTACAAGGGCATGACAGCAGGTGGGATGGGGAGTGATTACTTAGTAAATATAGGTGTTTTTGTAGAGTGAGGAAGAATTTTTGAAACTAGACAGCTGGGAGTTGCACAGTATTGAGAACACATTAAATATTACTGAATTGTGCACTTCAAAACGGCTGATTGTATGTTATGTGAATTTCATTTTAATTTTTTAAAACATAATTTTTAGGTTATGCTTACAAGGGGAAGCAGGTACTTTTAAGTTAATTACAGGAACACATTTATCTCTGACGCTCAGGATCCCCCAAATTGGGTAGCTACAAACTAATGCACGGTTTCTATATGCCAAATGGAAAGTTCCAGATCCCTCAAAGGTATTTACTGAATACAATAACTAAATAAAGTAAGTGGTGGGGGGACCCAAAGGGGAAGAGAGTGGGGAATCTTAAGAGGCAAATCTCTAGCTTCAGTTAGTGATTCCTTGGAGGGCAGGTAACAACAGAGAGCAAAGATTCATGCCCCTTCCTATGAACTTGCAAACGGACTCGGGTGTATCTGAGCTCTCAGAGACTTTGACAGCTGGGTAGAGGCACACTAGGTACTCAGGAATTTGTTATGGCTTCAGCTTAGTGATGGTTGGTAGGTGGCAGGTGGCCAGTGCTTTTCTTTCACCTCACCTAGGAACATACATATATGGGCACACCCCTGTGCTCTGTGGCATCTGGGACAGGGAGGATGTCACCACTTATGCTTGTTCTGCAGAGCTGCTGCTCAATAGCCTTCATCCCGCTGCCTGAAGCCCATGCCCACTCTCCTAAGGGCCTCCTGGCCCAGGTCTGCAGAAGTCACTGCACAGTGGCCAGGACTCTGCCACTCCAGGTTCTCTCCACGCCTTCAGCATCATGGCCTCTGAGAAGGAAAGCTTGATCACACAGCAGCCCAGAACAGCCAAGCAGAGGCCATGGGCAGCATGGAGAGGGGCTGCATAGGGATGGACAGCAGAATAGAGGGGGAAAGGGGCATTATAACTCATGCCTCCACCTGGTCAATTCCAAGCTGAGGGCAGGAGACTCTGGCTGCAAGCAAAAAAGTTCAGGGCAGGTTCTGGGCATTTCTGCAGGGCAAGGTGGTGAGTGAAACCTCAAATCAGTGCCCCAGCACTCAGCTCTGATGGGTCCATAGCCTGAAAGGCCAGGATTTAGAGGAAAGCGCCAACGACAAGACAGCAAGGGGGCACTCAGAGAGGGGAAGGGGCTGGGACTGACATCTTATATTCTCTTAAATTGAGCCCTTGTTGCCTCCTCATCTGAATAAAACATATTCTCCTCATTAATGTTCAGTTCACTAAAGATAAAGCCCTTTAGAATTTGCTATGGCTCCAGCTCAGGGAGCGGTGGCAGGTGGCACCCCAGATCTCTGTAAGATCTTGTCTCACTCTTCATATTGACAATGAGGAAAATGAGGTACCAAAGGAAGAAATGGGCTGGCAACAAAAATAAGATCAGCGCTTTGTGTTTTGTCATCCAGGCCATTTCATCTTTATTGACACATGTGCCGTGGCCTCAAAGCCAGGAGCAACAAAGGATGCTATTTGGAAGGAGAGAGGTCTCAGGATGGTGAATGAAAGAGAAGTAATGCAGAAGAATGCCTAAACTCCTATGAAAGGACATGATCCCTGTGTGTGTGCCCCCAGGTCCCTCCCCACCATGTGTCATGATAGGGCTTGGGGTAGGAGCTGGAGCAGTGCATGAAGAGGGACTCTGCACACCAAGTGTTGGCTCTTGGTCTGTGCATTGCCATTGCCATTGGTGCCATGAGCTGCTGGATTCACTTAGGCACCTGAACCCAACTCCTCGTCACCTGGGAAGAGGTGGGCCAGCAGCATAGGGCCACAGGGAGGCATAAAAAGGGTGACATCACGCTGCTGGTTATCCCAGAGGCTTGGAACAGGACTGGAGGGATGAAACAGGCCTGGACAGTGTCCTCACTCACCAATCCATTGTCGATATGGCCGTTCCTTTGTCCCCTCCCTCCTGCTCCTACAGCCAGCAAACCGGGTGGACTCCTCTCCACACTGCAGCATGGAGGTGTGGAACCACCCCACAGACACCCTGTGCCTCCCAGATCTGGGCAGAGAGCAGCCAGCTGGCCGCCGAGGTGTTTTTCCATGCGGCCAGGGGCCTGCTGTGGCTGCTCTGGCCGGGTGGTGACTCACAGCTGGCAGGACTCTGGCCCGGTGGTATTTTGAGATCCGGCTCCATGATGGACTGATGTGACAGCTTTGTTCTCTCTGGTCCTTTTGATTTGTGAAATCCTCTTTGTGGTTTGTTGGGGATGCTCAGACCCTGCTGTTTCTGGGCTCCAGCGACCACTCACTCAGCTGGGCAGGCGGGGCTGGCTGCAGCGGGGGTGGCAGACAGCAAGTGGGAGCAGCAGAGCCCAGTGAGGGCTGAGCTGCCACCAACCTGGGCAGCTAGAGCTGCACGTCCAGGCAGTGTTGAGCTGACTGGGTGGTCGTGGAAGAATGATAAGTTCTTGCTCAGAGCCAGCTATGCATGGCCAGATCGCAAACCACAGAGCTGCACAAGGGCTGCCCTGCTGGGCCTGGGCCTTGGCCCAGAGCTCTCTAGAGCATTTGGGGAGACATAGGGGTGGACACGGAGGCTTCTGGGGACTTGCAAGGCAGCCAGCCCTTGAGAAAGAGCACTTGGGGCCTCAGACAGCCAGACTAGCCGGAAGACTCAGAGCCGGTCAGACGAGGTCTGTGGGACTTCATTTGTGGCACCTGCATTGAAGGCAGGCAGGGATACAGAAGAGAAAGGGCATCAGAGCCAAAGACAACTAACTGGGTTCAAATCCCGGTTCTGCTCTGGCTGGTGCTGGGGCTGTGGGCAGCTTATTTGACCTCTAATCCCTCACTGGGAAAATAAAATTATAATACTCATTCTCCAAGCTTTGAAAGGTTCCATGTGAGCATTAACACAGAGAGATGTGCTCAGAATTCTATCTGTTCAGAAAATGTCATCCCCTCCCCTTCCCTAATTCACACACACACACACACACCCCATCATCCTTCCAGCTGTCTGCCTCCTTCTGTGGTCCCTGAGGTAGGAATGACTGATTCTCAGTTTCTTTCTGGCCAGGTATCTCTCCATACTCACAGTTCCATGAATTCTTCCCCAGTTTGCAGTGTTCACAGATAAAGGAGGGCCAGTTTCCAGCCACCTGAGTGAGGGCAGCTGAATTCACACAGACTCTTTCTCTCTCTCTCTCTCTCTCTCTCTCTCTCTCTCTCTCTCTCTCTCTCTCTCTGTCTTTCTGCTGACTCCCGACAGTAGCTTAGCAAATATAACTTAGCAGGGCATTTTTTGGTTGCTGAAAATTTCATGGTCACAGATGTTCTTTCTAGTTAAACAGTGAGCTGCTTCTGAGCAAAGCTTCATACAGGAGATGGAAAATGCAGACCTCAAACCAAGTTTTGCTAAATAAAAGAAGGAGAAGATGGGAACTAAGGAGCTTTGCAGATCCTGCAAGAGGTGACGTGCCCCAGGGTTTCAGGGTCTCAGCCCAAAGCCTCCACCACCCAGAGGAGATAGTGCTAGAGTCCATCCTTATAATGCAAAATCTGGGTTGGAAGAGGACTTATGTGTCACCCTTCCCTAGCCTCGTGTGATGCAGGACATCTCCCCAGCATCGACTAGAGACACTTCCCTTGGGACCCAACCAGGGATGCAAACAAACTCCCCTTTGAGCAGCTCTCAGTGCCAGCAAGGACTAGACTGGTAAAGACCTGTAGCAACTGAACCTTATTCCGCTGCCTGGGCCATGCAATACAGATCTGCTTCCTCTTCCTCAAGACAAGATGAGGACACTAAAGATTCCATGAGTCTTCTCATTCCCAGAAAAACCACAAGCCATCAGATCACCTTTCCTGCCAAGGAAGCATCCCAGGGGCCCCATTCTCTTCTGCAGTAAAGGACAATGCATCACTTCACAACAGGGTAAGAGGCTCCGGGAAGCCTCTGGGGAGCCCATGCTGAAAGCCCTCCTCTGGCCTGCCCCTCCTCAGCAGTAGGGGTGCTCTCTCTGGTCCTGCCAAGGGCCAAGGGTTGGCCTGGTGTCTGGGAGTCTTGTCTTCACTGCCCAATCATGGTAGCTTTGATCCCATGACTCTCAGCTTTCCCATCAGAATTCAGAGGGCAATAGTGTAACTGCTTGCTTGTAAAGTGCTTGGAGCTCAGAGGAGAAAAGGTGTCAGACAAGTATAAAATGTTATTACTGGCACAGGCCAGAGGATGGAATGGAAAATCCCAGCAGAAAGTGGGAGCTCAGAGGAAGCCATTTGTCAGCTCCTCTAAATAAATGGATACAGGAAAAGGGGTCTCCTCCTTGAAGTCAGGCAGAGTCCGGGTCAGCCAGAGGGGCTGGAGGAGATGCAGGTGAACATGAAGGGTCCTGCCTTCTGACACCAACTATTGATTTACAGCCATGTCTTCTGCCTCAAGACCAGCTGTCCATCATGCATCCTAGCTGGGGCTTTCACAGATAAGCCCAGGTACCCAGAGCTCCAAGCCATCAGCTCAACCGGGCATAAGCTTCCTAGAGAAGAGAACTGCAGGAACTAAATCACTGAAGCAGCCATCTGGAAGAACCAGCCCAGTTTTCAAACAGGAGTACATCAGGCAGACGAGCCAGTCAGCATGCGGCCATGAAGACTGAAGGGCAGACAGAGGAGGCACCGAGTGCCTAGATGATGCAATGAACTAAGGAGAACTTTTAAAACGCTCCAATTGCTGTTCTCAGAAACTTAGGAAACGCGGACTCTTCTGGGAAAATATCTTCTTAGATTGTAAGTGTGCCCCACCATTTCCTGTCCTCAAAGTGATCATCAGTAAGTGAACTGAAAAATAAAGTCAAGAAAATCTGTCAGAATACAGGGTAGTAAGACAAGGAGAAGGAACTTCAGATTAAAGTGACAACAGATGCTGGAGAGGATGTGGAGAAAAAGGAACACTTTTACACTGTTGGTGGGAGTGTAAATTAGTTCAACCATTGTGGAAGACAGTGTGGCGATTCCTCAAGGCCTTAGAAATAGAAATTCCATTTGACCCAGCAATCCCATTACTGGGTATATATCCAAAAGACTATAAATCGTTCTACTATAAGGACACATGTACACGAATGTTCATTGCAGCACTGTTTACAATAGCAAAGACCTGGAATCAACCCAAATGCCCATTGATAATAGACTGGATTGGAAAAATGTGGCACATATACACCATGGAATATTATGCAGCAATCAGAAATGATGAGTCTGTGTCGTTTGTAGGGACATGGATGAATCTGGAGAACATCATCCTCAGCAAACTGACACAAGAACAGAAAATGAAACACCGCATATTCTCACTCATAGGTGGGTGATGAAAAATGAGAACACATGGACACAGAAAGGGGAGTACTAAACACTGGGGTCTATTGGGGGGAAAAGGGGAGGGCCAGTGGGATGGGGAGGTGGGGAGGGATAGCCTGGGGAGAAATGCCAAATGTGGGTGAAGGGGAGAAGAAAAGCAAAGCACACTGCCATGTGTGTACCTACGCAACTGTCTTGCATGCTCTGCTCATGTACCCCAAAACCTAAAATCCAATAAAAAATTTAAAAAAATAAAATAAAATAAAGTGACATATATGCTGTTAGGATAAATGAAAAAAATTCTAGCATTTTAAAACATAAAGACTAAATATCAGAAACATTGATATTGGAAACATCATCACCTATTAATAAATAAGACTGGCTTCTCATTAATGAAACTTACTGTGACTATATTGTTGGAATTCCAAAACCTAGAATTTGACAGTTTCACAATCAGAGTGGGAGGTTTTAGCACCTACTGTAACTGCATCAGACCTATCTGGTTCGACTTTTATGAAACTAAGTTCTGAGTTGTTTTCCTGTCACCATGGACCCCCCCCCCAGACAGAAGGTCACGTAGTCTGAGCATGCCCAGGTGAACCAAGTGGGCAGTGTAGGTGGAACCTAAGTGCTGGGGCTGAAGAACTGGGACTGAAATAAAAGCAGATAGGCAGGACGCAGGATCCAATTAGATGAAGCTCTGGCATTGTGCCCTGGCAGGATCAGTCAGATCATGCCTCCTGGCATCACCTCATTGCAAGATCTAATCAGATCACACCTCATTACCCTGTGCTTATGAAGCCTGACCCAAATCCCTGCTCGAGGAGACAGATTTGAGAGTTTTCTCCTGCCTCCTTGCCTGTTAGCCAGCAATAAAGTTTTTCTTTTCTCAAAAGCTGGTGCCAAGGCATTGGCCTCTATGTGAACTGGGCAGCAAGCCCATTGATTGCTTGGTAACAATATCATGTTCCTAGATGGGAGGACTTAATATTACTAGGATACCAATTCTCCCCAAATGAACACAAATATTAGATTTCTCTCCTTGACTCTTGACAGTGAAAGCTTGTGTATGAACAATTAAAGACTCCCACTGAGGACTTTGAATCTGAAACCCATACTGCAAGGAAATCAGGGGATAGTTTAGAATTCAGTCTAGTTATGGTGATGGTGATGGTGGAGATGGCGGAGGAGGAGGTGAAAGGGAAGTGGCGGGAGGTGCTGGTAGTCTGTGGGTGGTGGTGGTGGCGGAGGAGCCAGTGGTGGGGGTGATGGTGGGATGGTAGCACCCAGCACCCAGGGTCTAGTGGAGACAATGGCAGCAGAATCAGAACAGCCTGTTGGCAGCAGGAGTCTAGGGCAGCGTCTCCAGTGGCACCATTTGGCTTTTTTGGCTCTGTCCAAGGGTTGTTTCTAAACATCACAACCTCTTACTAAGACATCCATTATCCTTCTAATAAGTCCCTTTGCTGCCTGTGTTTAATAAAGTGGATTTCTATTGCTTACAACCAAGAACTGGCACAATGAGTTTTCCAATCTTGAGTGAAGGTAGTATTTTGTAAGCAAGGCAGGAAACAAGAAATATTGTATTAAAAGTAAAAGACTGACTAATTCAACCACAAAACTTGAAACATCCCAACAGGAAAAGTGAAAGGGCCAAGTTTTTAAGGGTCGCAGCACAGAAGAAAGAGGAAGGCTGGTAAACACAGAGTAAGATGCTCATTCTCTCTTCCAATGGAAACAGCGAAATACCATTTTTCCATTTAGGTTAGCACAAAAATACACAAATGATACCTACTATCCAAGCTGTCACTGGGTAGGAAAATGGGGTCTCTTACAAAGCGCTGGACAATGCAAAGAGGTGACATTTTCGGATGAATTGAAGGATAGCTCCCAGCATTCAAGGTGGGAGTTTCCTCTACTCAAAAATGTTATTTCTCAGTATTTATCCCAATAGAAATACTTGGACAAAAGCATGAAGATATTAATAGCTGACTTATTTATAGCAGCCCCAAACTGTAGGCAATCTAAATAACATCAACAGGGGATGATGCTTACTTCCAAAATAATTAAAATATGGAACAAAACAAAATACGGAGAACTGAGGAAGAAGTAAAAAGTGTTTAATGGAACTATATTTACTGATCTAAAAGGCTCCTTGGTTTATCCTTGCTTTATTCTTTTTTTTTTTTTTTTTTTTTTTTTCCTTTTTGAGTTAGGATCTGGCTCTGTCTCCTAGGCCGGAATGCAGTGCCACAATCTCGGCTCACTATAAACACTACCTCCTGGGATCAAGTGATCCTCTCATCTCAGCCTCCCCAGTAGCTGGGACTACAGGCATGTCCACCCTGACAAACTAATTTCTGTAGGGATGGGGATCTTGCTATGTTGCCCAGGCTGGTCTTGAACTCCTGGGCTCAAGCGATCCTCCCACCTTGGCCTCTCAAAATTCTAGGATTACAGGCATGCACCACCTCACCCAGCTGGTTTATTCTCTAGTGAAAAAAAAAAGTGATTGCAAAGCGTTCTATATGGTATGATCCAATTTCTCTTTTAAATTTGTTTTAATGGCAAGGAAGTGGTTACATTCAAGTTAGACTTTATACACCTCTGTAACAAGCAATACTGTAAAGCCAGCATGATTTCCTTTTGCAATTCCTAAGCAAAACTAAAAGTCAAAAGGAATTGGAGTCCACGGGAGATACCAGTTTAGGGGTAAATTCTTCATTGTCTTGAATCATTGTGAACCTGTGGGGGTCCTAGCTAGCCTTGGTGCAGGCTGGACCTTGGACTATGCCCTCTGCCTTCCTGCTGGGGAAGTTAAAGGAGGGCAGGAGGAGGCATGAAGAGTGTGTGGTTTCATCCCATGGCTTCAGGAAAATGCCTCCAGAGCCTAGATCAAGTTAATAGGAGAAACATTGCAAAGCGTAATATAGTTACCTACACTGTGGACAGATGAAAAGGTATTTATTTGACCCAGTAAGTACAATCTACCGTGCCTGCGGCACATCTATTGGAATATTACTTGGGGGCTGACTGCCTGACAGCTGTTTGATTTATGGAGCCAAAGTCAATGAAAGACAAAGTCAATACAACTACTTTTCAGCCTCACTTTCCATTTCATTTCATAGAGAAGGTAAAAAGATATGGCTGCCTATAACAAGATTGGGTGAAACTCAGGAACCTCCTATGGGACGTTTGCATGTCTGTGTCCATGGACATTTCTGTCTTCCAAAAGGTGGGACTTCCATCTGAGGTGGGTCCTGAGGCAGGAGCGTAGCTCCGTCAGGAGGAGGCCTGAACTAAATACATATTGTCCATGCTGGGAGCTTTCTAGGCATGGCTCAGGCAGATGGGTGGATCTGGCTTGTCCAGGAGCCTGATTTCTGAAACGTGATACACAGCTCCTGTTCCCAGTGGGCTGACCTGCCTTTCAGAACCTGCAGGAGAATGTATTTCCAAGAAATGAGTGCTTTCTTGAGGGACTAGTCTGCCTGCCTCCCACTTGAGTGTGACACCAAGGCTGAAGGCAAATCGCTGCTGGAAGACTGGGATGTAGTGGGCTGGGGCGTGAAATAGATTTGGGCTCAAGCCGTAGCTTTGAATAGCATTGGGAAAGTCACTTCCCTGAACCTTGTTTTCCTCCTCTATAAAATGGGCATGATATTATCCTCTTCATGGAGATGTTCTATAGATGCCTAGAAATAATGGATTTGTTTCCCAGGACTGTTGTAAGAGAGCACCACAGACTGGGTGGCTTAGACGACAGAAGTTTATTGTCGCACAGTTTTGGGGGCTGGAACTTTGAGATCAAGGTGCTGGTAAGTTTTGTTTCTTCTGAGGGCTGTGAGAGAGAATCTACTTCCAAGGCTTTCTCTGAATTTCTGGTGGTTTATTTCTATGTTTGGTATTCCTAGGCTTATAAAAGCTTCACTCAAGTCTCTGCCTTTACCTTCACATGTTATTTTCCTTCTATGTTTGTCTGTGTCCAAATTTCCCCTTCTCTCTCTTTTTTTTTTTTTTTTTAAGACACAGTCTCGCTCTGTTGCCCAGGCTGAAGTGCAGTGGCACAATCTCAGCTCACTGCAACCTCTGCCTCCCAGGTTCAAGCAATTCTCCTGCCTCAGCCTCCTGAGTAGCTGGGATTGCAGGCATGCACCACCACACCCAGATAATTTTTGTATTTTTAGTAGAGATGATGTTTCACCATGTTGGCCAGGCTGGTCTCAAACTCCTGACTTCCTGATCCATCTGCCTCGGCCTCCGAAAGTGCTGGGATTATAAGCATGAGCCACCTCACTGGGCCCAAATTTCCTCTTTTTATAAGGGCACCAGTCATATTGGATTAACAGCCTACCCTACTGACCTGTAATGACCCTATTTCCAAATAAGCTTCCATTCTGAGGTAATAAACATTAGGACTTCAACATATGAGTGAGGAGAGGCACAATTTAACCCAGAGCCACTGATGCATGTAAAGTGACTGGCGTGACATAGCTCCTGAGTGAATTGTAGCTCCCTTGGTCCACAAAGTCCCGTCCTGCCAGCATCGGGGTGGAAAGAGGCAATGAAGGTGGAAGAGGGAAACCACCACATTTCTTAGTGGGTTCTCTAGGTTGGGATCACCCACCCATGCTGCTTCTACCAAGTCTCTCCCACTCCATGAGCCCAACCATCAGCTCCTTTGGTCAGCGGACAGCAGCATTTCCCCAGAGCCCAAGGAGCTCCTGTCTGCTGTAGTTTTCTGATAAGCCAATGTTTGCTGATGTGTGTCCTGATTTCAGAGTGTGTCTGCCTCTCTCATCCTGTGGCCATGCTATGGTTGCTGAGAGCAGGGACTGCCACTCCATTGCTGTGCACCCCTGACTCAACTGGGGTCTCACAGAGATAGTCTCTAGTGAGGGTTTGAAGGATGTAGGAATGAAGGAACAGCAGCTTCAATAACAAGGTTGTCATACATTTGTTTAATATAGTCGCTGCCTCAGCATCCATTTTTATGCCTGACATAAGCTGATTGGAACTCAATGGTACCCAGTCGCCTTTGGACTCAAAACTTCCTCTCCCCATGTGGTTATTCCTCATCCCACTGACCCAAAACCCAATACCTGACTATAATAAAACCAAATGGTCATGCCAGCAGTCCCCCCTTCATAAGTGTTTTCTTTAAACCAGCCAGTCCACAACCCCAGAGGAAAGCCTAAGGATAATGGCCACAGGCCTTAATGAAAGCATATCCCACAGGTGTTCTCCCTTCCATCGAACTGGCTAAACTGCCCGCCCCCTCCTGGCTTCCTGTAGGCCTCCAGTGTGTAACCATCTGCCCTGAGGCCCCTGTTTCATGCATTCTGGTTTCACTTCTTCACTGTGTCTAACCTGACACACACAGACCAGAACCTAATGTCCCCCATCAGGGCTCCCCTAGAAAGTGGTTATCTGGGCTCATGGCCACTCTCAAGAGACACACAAGACATAATGGAAAGAAACTGTAGCAATACAAATCACAACAAAAGTGAAAGCTGTTCAAATGTTTGCCTCCCACACCCCACCCCCAGCTATCTCTCTAAAAATTCCCCAGGCATGTGCAAAGAGATCCTGTCTCTCTGGGCATAAGCATAGAGGCCCACCGCGCAAGCCACCAAGCACTTGGCTCAGATGATACCCATTACAGCTCCGTGATCCTCGAAAAAGACACAAAGACAAATGTATGTAGAACAGGGCCCAGGCTGACCTCAGTTGCCATGAAAGATAGCAACATGCCATCAGCAACTGTTCCCAAGCAAAGAGGCAGGCACTGGCCACAGAAGAGACCCTGGGCTTGGAAGGCTGCTGGGGAGGCCTTGGCTCCTGCTCTATCTACCTGTGTCTTGGGTTTCAAATATATATTATAGAAATAACAAATATCACTCAATCTCAGAACCTCCCTGTCTGAATCTTAAAAATTGGGTTAAAGACACCTCCTCATGAATAAGAATTGAGGGAAAAAATGACTGTAGATTTGTAAAAAGTAGGGTTTGCATGGAAATCTTTACAGGGGCATTTCTGCAACATGCCGCCTTACAATACCACCAACAAAAGTTTCTGCGTTATCCTGGGAGGTCACTCCAGGACATTTTGCATCACTGAGCACTGTGAGAAACTTTCTTACCCTGTATTTTATTCAGTGATGTTGTGAACTGAATGTTTGTGTCTCCTCTAATTCCTGTGTTGAAGCCCTAAAGTGGTGATCATATTTGAAGGGGATTTGGGGAGGTAATTAGGGCTAGATGAGGTCTGAGCGGAGGCCCTCATGATGGGATTAGAGCTCTTATAAAAAGAGATACCACACCTTCCTCTCTCTACCATGTATGGACCCAGTGAAAAGGCAGCTGTCTGCAAGCTAGGAAGAGAGCCTTCACCAAACTCGACCATGCTGGCACCTTGATCTCACATTCTCACCCTCCAGAACTATTAGAAAATAAATTTTAGTTGCTTAAGCCACCCAGTTTGTGGGATGTCGTTATGGTAGCCTGAGCAGACTAATCTAAGTCAAAATCTATTTGTTATTCTTACTCATTAAGAATTCAATAATTTTCTTATAATGTTCAAATGTAATGAAAGACATTAAGAAAAAATAATTCTCTTTAAAGAAATATCTGGGAGAGAAAAACAAAGAAGCTATTTTTATATTTTATGGCTGAGCTACCTAATATGGTGGCCAACTACCACATGTGGCTACTGAGCACTTGAAACATGGCCAGTCCTAATTGAGATGTGCTGCACATGAAAATTACACAACGGGTTCCGGACTTACAGCAAAAACAGAATATAAAACTCACAATTGTTATATTGATTACATGTTGAAATACTAATGTTTTGGATCCATTAAGTTAAATAGCACATACAATTGAACTTAATGTTACCTGGTTTTCTTTTCTTTGATGTGGCTCTGAGAAAATATGACACATTTGGCTCATATTTGTGGCTCGCCTTTTATTTCTCTTGCACAGCACTGGTCCAGAGTCTGAAGCAGTAGACAAAGCCTGGGCGTTTGAGTCAAGAAGCTCCGCATTCCCATCCAAACTCTGTCATAACCAGCTTTGTCGACATGGGCAAATGACTTCACCTCTGTGACCCTCAGCCTTCCTGCAAATGAAATGGGGAAAGGAATATATTTCACAGTGTCATAGTGAAGACTACCAGTGGTGATGGAATCAAGTGTGTAGAATCCCTAACAGGAGTTTACTACACAGTAAAAACTCAATAAATTTTTGTTTCTAACTCCCTAGTTAGTAGGAAGAGAACACCATGCTGTCAACACTCTCCTAATCAGCGCCAGCTGCAAGCCTAGTGGCTTTTAAAGATGGAGCTCTGAGCAGCACAGACAGTGAGAAGAAGTCAAGGGACACCAAGAAAGTTTTCAATACTATTCTGTTTGAAAAGTTTGGTTTTGGGGGAACATCTTTCAATGTACCTGCTTGTATTTCTTTAAACCTCGCTCTGCAACATGGTTTATGACCTTAATCAGCAGGGAATTGGGATGGGTCAATATTGATGCAATGCTGTTGTGTTTTGTAAACAGGTCCCAGCTGCACAGAGCTTGTTCCTCTCGATCCTTCCCATCCCTCACACATACCTTGGAAGCTCCATGTGGATCTTCCCACCTCCCAGTTCACAAGCATCACTATGCCTGGCAGCAGCCCCAGGAACTTATGTCATGATCACGGAGAACTGTTGGAGATGATCAGTCTCTACAGTGCCAGTCTTGTGGGTATAATTGAGATAAAATACAATCACGGGACATTGAATATGAGGAGAAGACTAGCATCTTGACTTGGTGGCCCAGATATTCATATTAAAGGCCTGGGGGTGGTCACTGAGTGAAAACTGGGTCTGTGGCTGCCCACACTGTTGAAGGTTGGAGTATGATGGAGTCTGGAGGGACAGGGTATCCAGAGCATGAGTACCAGTAGCTCCCGTGGAGTGCTGGGGGTTAGATGGAAGGCTTATGTAGTTTCCCACATTCTATGAGGGAAAGGGACTTGTCCTAGGAATAGTGAGCAGGTAGGATCCAGGTCACATGGAAACAAGTAAAGGGAGAGAGGTGTTGAATCCGGAAAGAAGACAGACACTTGGGACATCTAAACATGGGACCCATTGCATGCAAAGAAACTTCTCACCTCACTCTGCTGGCTCCTTTGAGTGGGAGAATGGACAGTGGGTGGACTTTCTAAGAGACAGATGCTTTGTTCCCATAAGAAATAAGATAATTATTTAACTAGGTCATTCCTTATTCCAAAAAAGATTCAAAGTAAGTGAAAAGAACAGGGCAATCCACAAGTGAAACAGACTGTTTCGCTAGGCTGTGATCTGTGCCTCTGGTAGTGGCCAAGTAGTTGTCACCTGTGTCCAGCATGGAAGTCTTTGTTGAGGGTGGACCTCCAACCCTGGGCATGGAAGTGGAGCCACAATTCTTTCATGACGACACTGGGACCTTCCCATGAAGCTCAGCTACACAGGCAAATCCGTGAGGCTACAAAGTTGGCTTGGAACCTTCCTTTCTCCTAAAAAGTGTGTCCTCCTCTAAGAAAGTTCACTTTCCCAGCCCTTGACCAGGTCCTGGTCTCACCATCAGGCATGGGGACTCCCAAACTGACTCTCTTCAGTGTTCACATATAAAGGAAAATTAAAGCCAACAGTAGAATATGCAGCAACTGGAGTGGGAGGACGAAGGGGGAGGCAGGTTGGAAGAAGAGTCCGATGTCCCTGGGGGCCCCTGGGGTGGGGAGGAAGCATCCTTTCTGAAGCAGCTTGTGCCTATCCCTGGCTGGGATGCTGCTGTTTTTGCCAGCTCTGCCTGGGCCCTGGACTAAGTAATTCCCCCAGGATGGGGTCGGTTTGGGTAGAGTGGGAGGTGTTTTCAGTGTTGTTCATTTACAGTTGCCTTTGGGAAATGGGAAAAAGTGAGTCAGACACCGTTCTTTGAACCTGGGAGCCCCAGCTGAACTCTGAGGAGACAGGAAGGCACCCTCATTAGTCATTCTGTTTCTGTGGGGCCACACTGAAGAACAAAGGCTGCTCACATGTGTTGGCCTGACAGGCTTTCCACGGATGGGGACCAGCATGGTCAGGGCAACAGCTTCCAGTGGAATTATTCAAGCCTAGGGAAGCACCCACAGCCCAGAATGCTCTTCAAGGTCCTCAAAGACTGCTACTGCCCACAGCCCTCACCAAGAGAGGCGCATAGAGAGGAAGAGGGGAGGGGAGGAGGAAGCTTGTCGTTTAGCTCATGGTCAGACTCAGACCAGTGTGCTGGTCTTGGACAAGGAGTTTTGTGAGCTGAGAACTCGTGCTGCTCTCCCTAGGCACATGAAAATTAGAATCCTAAGGCTAGCCTTTCCCTTAGGAAATCAAGAACTTAAACATGTAGATAATCTACTCTGGGAATGACCATAAAGAACTGATCCTGGGTTTTTAAAAAATACGTGAAAATGGTGACTTCAGTATTCTTCATAATAGCCAAAGCTTACAATAGACTAATTAACCAAAAATAGAGATTGGCCAATTAATCTGCTGTATGTTCTCAGCCACGATGTGTGATCTTTAGGAAGAATTTGTAAGCACATGGGAATATGTTTATGCATCCAGTAAGAAATATAAAATCACGATATGAGAGAGTGCAATTCCATTCAAAATAGCAAAGCTATGAAATCAATCTCAATGCTCATCAACAGTGGACTAAATGATGAAAATGTGGTACACGTGCACCATAAAATACTATGCAGCCATAAAAAAGCACAAGATCATGTCCTTTGCAGCAATATGGATGCAGCTGGAGGCCATTATCCTAAGTGAATTAACGCAGGAACAGAAAACAAAATACCGCATGTTCTCACTTATAAGTAGAAGCTAAGCATTGAGTACATGTGACACAAAGTTGAGAACAAGAGACACAGAGGCTTACTTGAGGGTGAAGGTTGGGAGGAGGGTGAGGGTCAAAAAACTACTTATCAGGCACTATGCTCACTAGCTGGGTAATGAAATCATTTGTACATGCAATTTACCCATGTAGCAAACCTGCATATATACCCCCTGAGCCTAAAATACAAGTTGAAAAAGAAAAAAGTGTGTAATTGTATAATCACAGCTGTGTAAAAGGACAAAAGCACCCACAGGAAAAGTCAAGAATGGAACAGTATCAAAATAGGAGTTAACTTTGTGTGATGGGAATGAGAATTATATATTTTTTTCTATTTGGCATTTTCAAACTGTCGTTGATGAATGGATGTGTTTGATCATTGTGTTTTTGCTTTACAAAATAACTTCAGGCTGAAAGCAAGTCAACAGCCCTTCCATGAGTCTGTTCGTGTGGCTCATGGGAGTCCACAGAAGAAGCCTCTACCTGCAAAGGCTCCCATGTTGATGGAACTTGATGGCATTTGAAGATTCATAATCTACAGAAAGTTGCAGGGGTTGGGGTGAAGGTGCTGGCTCCATCATGAGCCTGTTGGTTAGAGCTTCATCTTGTCCTGCCCACAGAAGTCACCACAAAGCCCCAGAGAAATCTGGCCATTCTCCAGGGGACTGAGCATCCCCCGTGGTTCTGCATGGGAGGCGATGTCTATCCTCGGGGCACCTCATGACAAAGCTCATGGATGGAGGACCCAGAGAGTCAACTGACTATGTGTGTTCTCAGCCCCAGGTGGTCAGCATTGAAGGAGCATCACTGACCAGAAGAGGTGGCAGATGGTCACCTGGGTCAGGTCTCCCTGTGTCCCCTGACTCTCATCTCCATCTCTTCTTCTCACATTGATAGTCACAGGATAAATTATTTCCTCACTGTTCCCAAGGGTCAGGCCCCATGACAGAGAGGCACAATTGCCACATGTGTCCCATTTCCTGATTACAGAGATACTAGCAATCCTGTGTCAGGATGAGATGACTTGCATGTGGCAAGAGTTGGCACACATCTCTGTGTTTCTCCATCACCACTACTATTTTTCTGTTATCCCCACCAGAGGAGGATGCTTCTGACCATGGGTATGCTTCCAGACCCCACAGATTTGTGCCAAAACAGTGTCATGGTCTCAGAAAGAGTATCTGTCTCTTAAGCGATCAGCAAAGTAATTAGCAGAGAATCTTCTACTGGGTCAACCCAAAGACAGATCTATGAGCTCAGTGTTCCAAACACAGCATCTGAATACTTGGAAAGTACTCCGGCAATAACTGGAACTGTGCACGTGAGGAGTGCGCTTGCTGTGTATTTGCCCTTCTTACAGATGAGAAAACTAAGCTCAGAGAGGGAGGAAGTGGCTGACCCAAATTCCTGGCAGAACCAGGACAAGATCTAAGATGCATCATACCATCGGAACCCTTGCAACCTAAGGCTCACATCTCGCATGCGTGCAGCTAAGCAGTAAAATGACCCAGGGAACATGCATATTTGGAACCTCATGTATTACTTCTTCTGGATGGCAAGGTCTTTCTGGAATCTCTTGACTCACAAGATTTCACAGAACTCCTGTTTTGTACCTGAAAGCTCTGTCATCAGTTGCCAGCCAGTGGGCAACCCACCCCTACCTATTTCCACACCGTGACACACCAAGGAAAGGACTCCTTGCTCCCTCCCTCCCGCCCTCGTGGTCAGACCTATGGACTCCTGCTTGTGCATGGAAAGAAGCCCAGCTCTGCCAGAAATCTCCTGATGGCCCCCACAGTTCAGATAGAGGGTCTGGAAGCACTCTGCTTAGGAAAAATTCTCACTGGACTCTGCCCTGCCTCAGACAGTCACTGGGATCCCATTGCCACAATTGTCACTTATAACAAATCTCTCCAGGGTAGCGCTAAGACTGCTGACTCATGCATTCCCTTAAGGAAAGAAAAAAATAACATAGAGTAAACACCTACTATATGCCTTGTGGTACTGGGTAGAAGCAGCATGAACACCTCCATTTTACTACAGAGGAAACTGAGGCTCACAAAGGGTGAGTGACTTGCTCAAACTCACCCAGGCAGTATGCAGAGGGGCCGGGATCCAAACTAGGCATGTTTACCTTCCCATCTTGCCCTGTCTCCTCCACACCAGGCTGTGGCCTTGAGTTCATTTCACCATCATGCCATTAACCTCACGTTAGGGAGGAGAAAAT